CTGCCCAAGAACCTGCTGAAGGAGCGGTACGAAGTACGGCCGCGGCCGCGCAGCGTCTCCAGAACGAGCAGAGACACCAGCGTCCGGGTCCCCAGCACCAGCAGCAGCGCCACCGCTCGGGTCCTCAGCTCCAGCAGCAGCTCCACCAGGTGGGTCCGCAGCACCAGCAGCAGCACCACCCCCAGGGTCCGCAGCACCGCAAGGAAGAGCACCCCCAGAGTCGGCAGCTACAACTCCGCTAGCGCCGCCAGCTCCAGAGTCCCCAGCTCCAGCAGCTCCAGTCGTAGTGCTCCCAGAACAACCAGTCCCGGCAGCTCCAGTACCCCCAGCTCCAGCCGAGCCACTAGGACGGCGAAAGCGCCGGACGTACCAGTCACGAAGCTGCTGTGGTGTGAGAGACTGCTCAGCACCCCGAACCGGAGCACCCCCAGACGCAGCAACCCGAGGCTCCGTAGGCTCAGTAGCAGCACCCCCAGGCTCAGTACCCGCAGGCGCAGCACCCCCAGACTCAGCACCCCCAGACTCCGCACACGCCGGCTCAGCACCCCCAGTCGCAGCACCCCCAGGCTCAGCACCCCCAGGCGCCGAACTCTCAGGCACAGTACCCTCAGCTCCAGCACCCGTAGTCCCAGCACCCCCAGGCCCAGCACCCGCAGGCTCAGCACTCCCAGCAGCACCACCTGCAGCAGCACCTGAGTCACCTGTGACCTCGACAGGCTCAGCGACGGGAGGAGGGTCTACCTGAGAGACACCTGAAGGAGCAGGACCCTGAGGGGGAAGGGGGTCTACCGGAGGGGGACCAGGAGCAAGGAAAAGCGGCGGGGGAGGGAGGGGGGCAGTACGGTAGGGGAAGAGACGGTAAAAAGGGACCGACTCGTCAAAGGTGACGTCCTGAGAGGCGAAGACCCGGCGCGAGGTGGGGTGGTAAAACTGCCAGCCCGGCGCGTCAGGGACAAAGCCAAGGAAGACACAGGGAAGCGTGCGGGAGGAGAGCTTGTCCGCGGACGTATCGCGGACAAGGGCACGAGCACCCCACACCCGGAAGCGCGACGCATCGCCAACCTCCCCCGTCCAACGCAGTGTGGGCGAGGTCTCCGGCAAGGAGACACGGGGCCAGAGGTTGAGCTGATGCGCAGCGTACCGGACAGCAAACGGCCACAGAAAATGGGGAGCCGCCGCGTGGACCAAGGAGGTACGAGCGACCTCCATGACCAGGCCAATGCGGCGCTCAGCAACCCCATTCTGCTGTGGGGAGTCCGGAAGCGTGAAGGTCTGCTCGATGCCCTCCGCCTGACAGAAGGTCCTCAAGAGGTCGGAGGAAAACTCACCACCTCTGTCAGAGTGCAGACGCAGGACAGGAAGATCCATCCGGAAACGGCGGCGGAGCTGGAGACGAACTGTGCGGATCCAAGGGATCAGAACAGCAGGGACCTCACCCTTGGTGCGCAAGGGGAAGACCGTGGTGTAACGCGAGTAGTCGTCGACAACCAGCAAAAAGTACCGCTCACCGCCCTGGCCACGAACGCGGGCTGGGCCCCACACGTCCAGGTGGAGGGTCTGCAGAGGAGCCTCTGTCGGGGGGAACGAGGAGGAGTGAGGAGCGGCGCGCTGCCGCCCCTCGACGCAAGGAAGGCAAGGCGGCGCAGGCGAGGAAGGGAGAGGAGGGAGGGACCTGGGAAGACCAGACACAAGGCGGCGACGGTGCATGCCACGGAGGCGTGGCAAGGAGGGGTGACCCAGGCGGTGGTGCCAGAGAAGAGTCTGGTGCGACAGGGAACGACACTCACAAGCGTGGGCCACCAGACCTGACGCGGACACCTGACCGACAGCAGCGACCTGAGGAGACGCAGTGGTCAGTGTGTAGAGACTCGACCCCGGCCGACGAGTAAACGTAGCCAGGTGACGGCCGGTCCTGGAGCACGTGCAGATCGCCACACGCTGTCCTCCAGGGGTAAAGGTGTCAACCCACTGATCCTGGATGACAGCGTTGCTCACCAGGTTCGTCGAGAACAAGGGGAGGTGGAAACCCGTCAACGAGCCAGACGGAACCGCCGGACAAGGGAGCACAGTGGTGGACTGGGCAAGGACTGGGCCCCCAGAGGGGTCAGCCAAGGAGACTGGGACCGGTGCAGGAAGCGGTGTGAGCTCAGTACTGTCTCGAAAGAAGCAGCGGGAAGCACCTGAGTCAAGGGTGAAGGTGTGACAGGTCTCAGCCGGTGCAGTACCTGAGAGAGCAGTCTCTGTGGGTGCTGTACCTGAGAGAGCAGACTCGCAAGCAGCAGGGACAGTGCTGGAGGGAGCAGGTACAGGGGGCACCATACCAGAGAGAGCAGACTCACTAGTACCTAGGGCAGCGGGCCCTATACCTGGGTCAGGCGGCACACACAAGTAACAGTCTCCCTCGGCACTAACAGTCAATGCATACATGGCAGCAATAATAGCATCATAGTCAAGAGCAAAGATATCAACACCAGCCCTCATCAGCTCAGCCCAGCGAGGGCGCTCAACATCCTCGCCCATCTCCTCACGCCAAGCGTCGTCAAGGCGGAAGAAGCAGCGGTACTGAGTGTGGAACTTTCCACACGTCTGCCCCTTGCGATCACCTGTGCGAATGACATAGGAACAGCGGCCACTGCCCCCCGACGTCCCACGCTGAGCAAGCCACTCACGAAGCTGCTGGGTCGACTGGGGACGCTGCTGCTGCTGGGAGCTCTGGCCCGAGCCGGTGCCTCCACTCCGACCTCCACCGCCGCCACTACCTCCGCTCCGACCGCCACCACCGCCACCGCCACCGCCACTACCGCCACCGCCGCCACTGCCGCCGCCGCCCCCGCCTCCGCCGCCGGCCCCACTCCCACCGGCACTCCCGCCACCGCTCCCTCCAGCACCGCCTCCCCCCCCACCTCCCCCACCCCCTCCCCCCCCAGCGCCACCCCCGCCACCCTTGCCCCCCTTGCCCTTGCCGGTGCGGCGCCTCCCACCAGGAGCAGAAGCAGCGCCAGCAGACTCAGCACCAAGGAAGTCAACAGCAGCAGCAGTAGCGTAGGAGGGAGCGAGGGGAGAGGGAGAACACCCCTCAAAGATGGGGGTGCGAGGAGCGCCACGAGCAGCACCGACAGCTACAATGCTCTTTTCGGCCGCTAGCAGCTGCTCCTCTAGGAGGGCGACTGTGAGCTCAGTGGGACAGCGAGCAAGGAAATAGTCGCGCACTGAGCTGAGGGTGTCAGGGAGACGGGTGACTATGAAGTGGAGTGCCCAGTACAGGGGAGGGGGGTTCTTAGCGCAGAACTCGGTGGGAAGGGCGGCACGCAGGCGAGCATCACTAGTGCGAAGGTGGGTGATAAGATCGGCGACTGTAGCAAAGGTGGACAGGTCAGGGAACAGGTAAGGCAGCATGAGACGGCTAAGCTCGGCTGTGGCAGGTGAGGAGTAGCGAGCAACGACAGCGTCGTATAGGGCTTTAGCGGTTTTGCAGTCGCCAAAGTGCTCTAGCTCAGCTAACGGCAGGTGACTGCGAATAGCCAGGCGAGCTGCAGCGTCACGAGTCTGCCACTGTGAACGTACACTAAGCTCGGCTGTGGCAGCAGGAGCAGCGGCAGCACCAGACGCGTAGTCATAGAGGGAGATGTGGTCCGTGCTATTGCTCATAAGATACAACTGCAGGTCGTCGAGCCAGGAAGTGAACTGCACGGGACGGCCCTCAGCATCGAAGGAAAGAACGCGAATAGAGGCCATAGCTCAGGCGTGAGGGCACAGCAGAGCAGCGGCAGCAGCAGAGGGGACGCGCTAGAGCGAAGCTAGCAGCCACAGCAGGAGCAAGCGGCGGTGCACAGGCAGGGAGCAGCAGGCGAGGCGGGCGGCGCTGCAGGCGGGAAGTGCGGCGGGCGGGCTGCGAAGCGGGCAGCAGGACGAGCGGGCGGGCGACGCGGCGAGTGGGCAGCGCGGCGGGCGGCTGCGAAGCGGGCAGCGGGCGGGCGGGCGACGCTGCAAGCGGGCAGCGGGCGGGCGGGCGACGCTGCAAGCGGGCAGCGAGGCGGGAGGGCGACGCTGCGAGCGGGCAGCGGGCGGGCGGGCGACGCTGCGAGCGGGCAGCGAGCGAGCGGGCGACGCTGCGAAGCGGGCAGCGGGCGGGCGGGCGACGCTGCGAGCGGGCAGCAAGCGGGCGGGCGACGCTGCGAAGCAGGTAGCGGGCGAGCGGGCGGCGCTGCGAGCGGGCAGCGAAGCGGGCGGGCCGCGAAGCGGGCAGCGAGCGGGCGGGCGGGCTGCGAAGCGGGCAGCGGGGCGAGCGGGCGACGCTGCGAGCAGGCGGCTCGGCGGGCGGGCGACGCTGCGAGGGGCGCGCGAGGGCGCTAGCGAGGGGCGCGCGAGGGCGCTAGCAAGGGGCGCGCGAGGGCGCTAACGAGGGGCGCGCGAGGGCGCTAACGAGGGTGCGCGAGGGCGCTAACGAGGGGCGCGCGAGGGCGCTAACGAGGGGCGCGCGAGGGCGCTAACGAGGGCGCACGAGGGCGCTACGAGGCTAGGGCACGGGGTAGCGTGGTAACCGCATGCGAGCGGTGGTGGGCCCTTAAAAAAAAACGGTCGGTAGGTCCTAGGGACCTCCTGCTCTGAATACCATCTCAGAATAACTAGGCAAGAATGAATGAACTAGCAGAAGTTTGGGTACAAATATGAAACCCTAGTTGGGGTTGTACCCCATATTGGCTACCCCACTACAGCCTACAAGCATAATACAGTTTAACAGGAAACGCTTTGAGGCGCCTCACCAACGCTAGTGAAGCTATTCAAAGAACTATAGAGTACTCCACTCGCCATGTCCTGCTGTAACAATCCTCACTTACTTTTTAAGGCACCTCAATAGACGCCTCAAAAGCCGCCTCAAATTATTTTGAGTCGCCTCAAAAGTCGCCACTGAAGCTATCCAAAGGCCTATAGAGTACTTGACTCGCCAGGTCTTACTGTAAAAACCCTCACGTACTCTTTTGAGGCGCCTCATAAGTCGCCTAAAGAAAAGTCGCCACTGAAGCAATCCAAAGGCCTATAGAGTACTTGACTCGCCATGTCTTACTGTAATAACCCTCACTTACTCTAGCAACCATCTCCCTTACCTGAATGATTGTCGAGAAAAGGAGGATGATAAGGGCAGTGAAGAGAATGGGGCGCAGCCAGGAAAAGTCTTCTCCGTTGCGTGCCGCCCAAAAGGTGAAGAGCGTGAGAGAGACAACCACGATTGTTGTTAGGAGAATTGCTTCTAGCACGATATTGGCTGAGAGGGGAGAGTACAAACAGAGTGGGGAGAACGGCGGCGCAGAGCAGCACAGAGAGGAAAGAGCGTAAGAGAGACGACCACGATTGCTGTCAGGAGAATGGCTTCTAGCACGATGTCTGCTGGGCGGGCAAGAGGATAGGCCGAGTGGGGAGGGCGGTAGAGCAGATGCAGAGTGGATGCGGAGGCAGAGCAGAGCAGCACAGAGAGGGAAGAGCGTGAGAGAGACAACCACGATTGCTCTGAGGAGAATGGCTTCCAAGACGATGTCGGCTGGGATGGCAAGAGTACAGACAGAGTGGGGAGAACGGTGGAGCAGAGGAGCACTGATGCCATGTGTTACCTGGGAGGGGTGCACGAGAGGCGAGACGCGTTACCTAGGTGAGGTGCATGAGAGGCGAGACATATTACCTAAGAGACAGGCACATGAGAGACTGAAAGTGATGCCATCAGAGAGAGAGAAGAGCGGCTGAGAGATGCTAACAAGGGAAAGCTATTGTTTCTGTGTGCTATATGACGTAACGTGCTAATGACACAGATGCTACTGGCTTTTGAGGCGTCTCAAAAGCTCTGTATGCTACATGATGCAACGTGCTGACGACGACACAGATGGTACTGACTTTATGTGTTACCTGGGAAAAGGGCGCATGTGAAACCGAGGGTGATGCTGAAGGAGAGGGAGAAGAGGCTGAGGAGGATGAGGTTGAGGGGGTGGTGCTGACGGTAGGCTGAGAGCACATACATCACTGCAGGGAGGGAGGGGAGGGGGGGAAGTGAGCAGATGAGCAGGAGGATAAGGATGGGCGGATGGTGCTCGCGCCAAAAGAGATGAAAAGGTGAAAGGTGAAGAGCGTTCGGAAACACGTCCTTAGAGATGAAAGAGACGATGGCGCTGGCGAAAAGAAAGAGGTGAGGCGCGTGCATGAAACGATGAAAGGGGCACGATGCAAGAGAAACGTCCTTACAGATGAAAGAGATGATGGCGCTGGCGAGAAGAAAGAGGTGAGGCGCTTTAAAGACAGCCACGCGCACCGAATCCACCTTCACCACCACTAGGGCTGCTGCGAATGTCAGCAGCAGCTGGCAGGACAGGATGCCGTACACCTGAAAGGGTATGGAATGGTTTGGTTCGGTAAGGGGGTTTTGTTTGAGCACAAGGGTGTGGAGGAAGAGATGAGAGCATGAGAGTGAGTCGGGCATTTTCAACCTTCACCACCACTGCAGCTGCTACGAATGTCAGCAGCAGCTGGCAGGACAGGATGCCGCAAACCTGGAAGGGTATGGTACGGTTTCGTCAGGGGGGTTGGTTTTAGCACAAGGGTGAGTAAGGAGCGGAGAGGAGAGCGCATGAAAGCCAGCCGAGTCACACACAGTCGCCACTAGTGTGGCTGTTGTGACAGGATGGACAGGATGTTGTTACAACTGGATCCGTCCTGACAGCAGCTGGATGGATAGGACGCCGTACACCTGGGATTGGGTGGGAGGGAGAAAAAAATTTAAGAGCAGAAGATAACTTATATACAAGTGTATGCGTCTGATGTGTGTTGGGGAGGAATCACTGGAGGACAGAATCAGCAGACCTGGAATTTGACTTGTGGGTGGATAAGCGGCTTTGCTAAAACCAAGGCCAAAGACTGCTTGTATCGAAGCTTTAAAAAAGAAAGAGAGAGAGAGAGAAAAAAAAAAAAAACAGATAATTAACAAAAGAACGTGACTGTACCTTCTGAACGAAGGCCCATCGCAGAGTGGGGTCCTGGAACACGTTGCCTTTTTAAGGCGCCTCAAAGGTGACCCTATCTTTTGTACAAAGGCCCATCGGAGAGGGGGGTCATGAAACACGTTGCCTCCACCGGATTCAACATCCGAATACCCCGTCGGAACCTTCCGCGAACCACTCGACGGCCATGCTGATGTGGCCATTGCTGTCTCCCTTCGCTGGTTAACTGACGGCGGAAACGAAATATATCTCTGCTCCTAATCGTTACCTGTCGACGCGCAGAACTCCTAGACAACACAAAAACGAGGCAAAAGGCTGGGGGGATTTGCGACAAGCAAAGCAGGAAGCAAGGATATGAAGGAAGGAAAGCAGGAAATATTCTGGAGGAGGGCGCGCGGGGAGGGGGGGCTGGGAGGGGGAAGGGGAATGAAATCTGTGCGAAGGAATTAAAGTTGCGAAGAGATTTCGGACTTAGCGAATAGGCGTCCACTCAGCAGATTGGCGGAGGATTTTTTTCGCGAACACTACTGAAGCACATTCTCTAGAGACCTTCATCATCACAGAAATTGAAGGTCCCAAACACTGCCGAAATGGGTCCTTTTTGGGTCCTCTAGGGGTCCTTTCGGGACCCTACAAAAAGACTCAATCCGGATTCGAATGATGGGTCCTTTCGGGGTCCTCTGGAGGGTCCTATGGGGATCCCAAACGGGTCCGGGAACACTCCTGAAAGGGTTGGAAAGGAATGCTCAACCGGCAGACATACCTACGCGACAGTCGCATTCACTGGGCTCGTGTTACACAAAATGGCACGTAACCATTTCTTTATTATATTGACATATACAATGATAATAAAATGAACGAGAGAAAGCTGATCCTAACAGAGAGAAGAGTAGCTTTGAAACTATCTTTCTAAACAAACAAACTGCATCTTGTTAATGCGAAACTTCTAATTGAACTGCAATGATTTTCTGCACACAGAAACAACCTTTGGGTTAGGTATTAGAACTTGCAGCAACACATCAAACTATGGGGTACAACCTGTTGATGGTTGCAGTAGCCTTCAATCACAAGCAAGAGGTAAGTCTTATCAAAAATCATATATGCGTTCTTGAATATAATCTTCTGCCTACCTGAAGAAAAGCAAAAAAGACTGAAAAAAATAGGTTTCGTTAGCAAGAAGGCCATGCGCAGAGCTAGACGCAACTACACAGTCACACCTTCAGTGCCGCGCGCGATGCAAACGACGCAGTTACCTTTGCTCGCATTGAACGACACGCCCTCGTCCCCTTACCCGTACGCCGCTCACTGAGTTTAGCCGTCGCATACCTCCTGCTACGGTCTTTGCACGCGTCGAGCGAAATCGTCGCATCGCAAACTGCTACTTCGTGTGCTCACTTACGACCCCTGTTGGTCTCGCCGTGAGTGGAAATAATTGAGTTGGCAAGCGAAAGGGGAGAGCGGAAAGAGAAAGAGAGAAAGCGAAAGAGAAAGAGAGAAATGTCCGACGCAAACCCGCAAATCGCGTACCTGAAAATTCGCTTACCTGCAGAGGCGTACAACAGACGCGCGCTCACAAAGGCGCACGAGCGAACCTGCGAGCCGCTCACCTGATGAGGCGCTCAACTACAGAGGCGCGCACGTGATGAGGCGCGCGCGACTGCTAGAGACAGTCACATGCAGGCGCGCACCTGCCGAGGCGCGCGTTTGCTTAGGCGATCACCTGCAGAGTCGAGCGCCTCGGTTCAGAACCTGGAGAGGTACAGAAAAAAGGGGGGGGGGGGGGATTTGCGCGAGATCTTACTCTTAAGCTCACTGAAGACACGAGCAAGAAAGCTATACTGAGTTTTCCGTGAGCTAAAATCAAGAGCTATTGTGGCGAAGGAGCTAACATGGTAGGCATGGTTAGGTGAGAATGGTTGTGGGAACAATCAACACAAATGAAGAGGAGTGAGGGTGGTTAGGTGAAAATGGTTGTGCTGCTATGTGGAGAAACATGGGGGTGCGGTTGAGATTGGGGGCAAGGCTGAGTGGTTGGCAAGATTTGTAGGAAGACACGTGTGGTTTGAAAATTGGTTGGATTGGAGGGAGTGGTTGGGTAGGGCTTGGCCAATCACCGTTCCTGTTTTCGGTTCGTTGTTTGACATTTTTAAAACATTCGCTTCTGAAGTGTTATTGGAGGTAACGAGCCACTCAAAATCGAGATTATGCTTGCCCAACGAACTCTGTCCGAAAGGTATCCCAACATGGCAAAAGCGAGCTGGGTCCGTAAGGCATCTTTTCGTACGAAGCTACAGTAACGAACAATCCCGAATGGGTCCCCCTAGGCTCCTTCCAGACACTTTTTGGATCCGGACGGGTGTTGGACCAATTTCAGACCTTGCAATTTTGGTGATGATTCCATGATGCGGCGGGGTGCTAGTAACGAATTTCCGCTGCCAGCTGAGGGGCCCCGTTTCCGGGCGGGGAGAAAAGTCGGCTCCCGCCCCTCGCTTGCTCCGCTAGGCGACTACGCAGGGGAAATGATGCAGGGGCAAAAGGGGGGCTGCGGATATCCCGCCGAATTCGTCCCATGCTGGCTCGGCGGCAGGGTGCCAGTGACGAATTTCCAGCAGCAATACAGGGCGGGGGATGTCGCCCTCGGTGAATGTGTTCAGCCATGCACGTGAATTCATACGCGGGTACGTACGCTTTACAGTGGGCTTTGTTTTTTCTTAACATCTGCCTTGAAGAAAGATTCCTCTTTTATTCTATTTCTACTCTTGGAAGTGTACCGAGATTCCCATTGTCCGCTAATTCAACAACAGTGGCCTGTGGCCTTCGGGGAATATCCCGCCAGATCCAATTACGCAGTGACGCGCGGCACCCGTAAAGTTCCCGCCAAATTCTTGCTGATTCTGAGGCAGCCCGCGGAGAGAACTCCGCCGTTTCCCGCCTGCAGGCGGAGCGTATCGCGGCCTTCTCATTCGCTTCCTCCTGAGATAGGTTCAGGAGGTTGATTAGCGGTTCAAAACGGTGAAACTTAGAAACCGTTGTAAACCGTATGTAACCATTCTAGGGAACATATTCTGAACTTCTATGGCTTGCGCACCCCAGCATCGTGTCGGGCTCGTGAAGACCTTCCCCCTTTCCGAGCGCATAGAAGATTAGTAGGCTCACTTCGTTTCGATTAGCGCCATCCAGCAGGGTTCTTTGGCCGCGAATTCAAAATCCTGCCGGCTTGCGTTACGGATTTTCCCGTCAGCGTCTTTTCACGTCGTTCCTGCCTTACTAATTTCCGCTCGTGAGACTAAGAGGGTTTGACCTTGATATTGCCGGGTAGTTGAACGTCAGGTTTCTACCTTTTTTCCTCTTCCGTTTTCAATTGTAGCAAAATGCATGCCGCAACCGGTCTTCTTTTCCGTCAGACCCAACCGCCTGCGCTCCACGCATTACAACCCTCTCCCCTCCGCGAAACCCTGTCCTCGGCGAAGAACGTTACCGCTCAAAATTTCGCGAAATGGCAGCGACTGCCTCCTATCTCGTCTATTTCGCAGCTCCCAGCGAATATAGGGCAGTCGATCCGGCCCGGCGGGCCACGTCAGATCAACGGCGCGGTGATGTGGCAACAGCTGGCAGGCGAGGATTGGGTGGCGCTCCGGGATAACCGCTCCGACACGCGGCTCCGGATATTCTCAGGGACGGCGAATAAGCAGCTCTCTCAGGTTCGTTCGTAGGTAGAGATTCGTCTCAAATGGTTAAGGGTAAGGAGGTTGGTTGGATTACCCGCCTCCAATACACCTCCCCCTCCTTCCCCACCTCATTTCAGGAGATCGCGTCGTGCATGGGCCGTGAGCTTGGGAGGGTGAAGCGATTAGCGGACGGCGAGATTTACGTGCAGCTGCAGGAGAGCGTGCGGGGGTTGGTGCGACGTGATGTGGGTGCAACATGTTGTGTTTCCCTTACCCGCTTTCAACACCCTCTCCCTTCCGCCCCACCCATCCCAGGAGATGGCCTCTTGCATGGGACTAGAGTTGGGCCACGTAAGCTGAAGTGGTTCGTTGACGGGGAGATATTCGTGCAGCTGCAGGAGAGCGTGCGCGGGTGGGTGCAACGTGTTGTGTTTCTCCTGCCTTACCACCCTCTCCTGCTAACCCATCTGTCCCTTTCCACCGCATCAGGAGATTGCCTCGTGCATGGGGTTGGAACTCGGGAGGGTGAAGGTGAAGCGATTCGCGGACGGCGAGATTTACGTGCAGCTGCAGGAGAGCGTGCGCGGGGGAGGGTGCGACGTGTTGTGGATGTAACGTGTTGCGCTCCCCTTTCCCGCCTCCAACACCCCTCTTTCCTTCCTTTTTCCAGGAAATTGCCTCGTGCATGGGCCTGGATCTGAGTCGCGTGAAAATCAAGCGATTCGCGGACGGCGAGATTTATGTGCAGCTGCAGGAGAGCGTGCGCGGGTGCGACGTGTTGTCCTCTCCTCTTCGCTGCTCGTCTCACTCCCCTCCAACACCCCTCCTACACCCCTCCTTCCGCCCCCTTCTCAGGAGATCGCGTCTGCATGGGCCTGGATTTGAGTCGCGTGAAAATCAAGCGATTTGCGGACGGCGAGATTTACGTGCAGCTGCAGGAGAGCGTGCGCGGGTGCGACGTGTTGTATTTCTCCTGCCTTACGACTCACTCCTGGTTTCCCCTTCCCTCCTTCCCCACTTCTTCCAGGAGATTGCCTCGTGCATGGGCCTGGATTTGAGTCGCGTGAAAATCAAGCGATTCGCGGACGGCGAGATTTACGTGCAGCTGCAGGAGAGCGTGCGCGGGTGCGACGTGTTTCTGGTGCAGCCCACGTGCCCGCCCGCCAATGAGAACCTCATGGAGCTGCTCGTCATGATCGACGCGTGTCGACGCGCGTCCGCGAAAACAATCACGGCGGTTATCCCCTACTTTGGTTATGCTCGCGCCGACAGAAAGGTGTGTTCCTTCTACACCCCCATCCCCCACGTGCCCGCCGGCCAACGAGAACCTCATAGAGCTGCTCGTCATGATCGACGCGTGTCGGAGGGCCTCAGCCAAGACCATCACCGCCGTGATTCCGTACTTCAGATACGCGCGGGCTGACCGCAAGGTACTGTTCCTCCTCCCCCTCGACCCCCTCCTCTCCTTCCCCCCCCCCCCTCCCCCCCCCATCCTTTTCCCCCGCCGGCCAACGAGAACCTCATAGAGCTGCTCGTCATGATCGATGCTTGCAGGCGTGCCTCGGCGAAAACGATCACTGCGGTGATTCCCGTACTGCGTGTGTTCTCTCCCCCATACCCATATCCCACACTCCCGCCCACTCCCCAGACCCAAGGCCGCGAGTCCATAACAGCGAAGCTGGTGGCGAATCTGATCACAGAGGCGGGCGGCAACCGCGTGTTGGCTCGTCTGGCTCACTTGCTCGTCTCCTGGTCTCCCTTCCACCTTAACCCAACTCTGCAATTGTTCCCATGCCCCGCACCCCCTCCTGGTCAGACCCAAGGCCGCGAGTCCATAGCGGCGAAGCTGGTGGCGAATCTCATCACTGAGGCAGGCGCCAATCGCGTGTTGGCATGCGACCTGCACTCGGGGCAGAGCATGGGATACTTTGACATTCCGGTTGATCACGTGTATGGGCAGGTGAGGGTGATTCTAGGAACAGATGAGAGCAGAGGCAGGGACAGGAGGAAGGGGTTTGAGTGGTGGAAGGAGGGGGGAAAGGGTGCACGTGTGCGTGCTGGCGTGCGACCTGCACTCGGGGCAGAGCATGGGGTACTTTGACATCCCCGTGGACCATGTGTAGTGCAAGGGAAGGAGGGAGTAAGGGCGCCAGCCGTGTGTCAACACTTTGACAACACACGGCTGCACTCCCCGTGGGGCAGAGCATGGGGTACTTTGACATCCCCTTCGCCCCACTCTCCCTCTCCCTTCTCTTTCCCAACTCCCCCCTTCATTTTCCCCATCCTCCCCCTCCCAGCCAGTCATCCTCGACTATCTCGCCAGCAAGATGCTCTCCTCAAACGACCTCGTTGTCGTCTCTCCAGATGTGGGAGGCGTAGCTCGGGCCAGGGCCTTCGCCAAGCGCCTGTCAGATGCTCCTCTGGCGATTGTGGATAAGAGGAGGCAGAGCCACAACGTGGCAGAGGTGAGGGGGAAAGGGCCGACCTTTGAGGGTGAGGTGGAAGGTGGCTGAGGTGAGGGGGAGGGATAGGGGCCTGGGTGGGGGAAGTGGCTCGGGCGAGGGCGTTCGCCAAGCGCCTGTCAGACGCTCCCCTGGCGATCGTGGACAAGAGGCGGCAGAGCCACAACGTGGCAGAGGTGAGCGAGGGGCAATGGTTGAACTTTGTGGGGTGCGGGGTGCAATAGAAGGGCTGAATGCGGTGGTGCTGAGTGCGGCCGAGCGGGTGCGTGGCTCGGCCAGGTCGTTCGCCAAGCGCCTGTCTGACGCTCCCCTGGCGACTGTGGGTAAGAGGAGGCAGAGCCATAATGTTGCAGAGGTGAGGGGGAAAGGGCCGATCTGTGAGGGCGAGGTGGAAGGTGGCTGAGGTGAGGGGGAGGGATAGGGGCCTGGGTGGCGGGAGTGGCTCGGGCAAGGGCGTTCGCCAAGCGCCTGTCAGACGCTCCCCTGGCGATTGTGGATAAGAGGAGGCAGAGCCACAATGTCGCAGAGGTGAGAGATAGGGAACGACGGCACTTTGTGGTGGCCGGGGGTGCAAAAGAAGGAGAAAGGCAGAATCTGCCTCTTTGTTTCTCAAGCGCTTATCAGATGCTCCTCTGGCAATTGTGGATAAGAGGCGGCAGAGCCACAACGTGGCAGAGGTGAGAGAGGGTTGGATGGGTGGGTGTTGATTGGGAGGCGCAGGGGAGGAGCTCTCTCCTTCTACGCTGCCTTCGCCAAGCGTCTCTCGGATGCTCCTCTGGCAATTGTGGATAAGAGGCGGCAGAGCCACAACGTGGCAGAAGTGAGAGAGGGGCGGGGGGAAATGATGTATGTGGGCCGAGTGGGGGGAGTGGCCCTGGCCATGCCTTCGCCAAGCGTCTCTCGGATGCTCCCCTGGCGATTGTGGATAAGAGGAGGCAGAGCCACAACGTGGCAGAAGTGAGAGAGAGGGAACGGGGGCACTTTGTGGTGGCGGGGTGCTCACCTTGCCAAGCGCTTGTTGAACACTCGTTACTGTGGATAAGAGGCGGAAGAGCCACAACGTGGCAGAGGTGAAAAGGAGAGGGGGCTGTTGAGTGGGGGCTGGGGTGTGCATGGAGGCAGAACGAAGAGGTAAGAGTGGACAGAGGTTGAGGAGGTAGAGGGTTGATTTTGGAGTCGACTGAAAAATCGACTCATTACACAGGGGCCGAGGAGATAGAGGGTTTAGAGGGGATGGAGCCATGATTGTCTCAGTTGGCACAATCGTGAGTACGCACGTTGAATCTTAGCCCTTTCCCCCTCCCCACTTAGCATGTCATGAACCTCATCGGTGACGTGAAGGGCAAGGTGGCAGTGATGGTGGACGATATGATTGATACGGTGACTAAACTCATTTTCCTGCCTACTCCTTTCCCCCCTCCTCGACTCCCTCCATCAGGTGATGAATTTGATTGGAGACGTGAAGGGCAAGGTGGCAGTGATGGTGGATGGTATGATTGATACGGCCGGCACCATTGCCAAGGGCGCTGCCTCTCTCATCTCATCCCAACTCATCTCCGTCCTCGTCTCCTTCCCTATCCCCATTTGGCCATCAGGTGATGAACCTGATTGGAGATGTGAAGGGCAAGGTGGCAGTGATGGTGGATGACATGATTGACACGGCTGGTACCATTGCCAAGGGCGCTGCATTGCTGCATGAGGAGGGGGCTAGTGAGGTGTATGCGTGCTGCACTCACGCTGTCTTCAGGCAAGTGCGACAACTTATGCTAGTTGTGAAGAAATTTTTAATTGCACTTCAAGAACAGCAAGTGATACGGTATAAAATATTACTTTGTAACAAGCGCTTTCTCTTTCGACCACTTCAGCAAAACAACCTTGTTTTCCAAACACATCCGATCCACTTCCCGACCTCTCTTCCCCATTCATGTCCAACTAGCCCGCCTGCCATAGAGCGGCTGTCCAGCGGGCTGTTCCAGAAGGTGATTGTGACCAACACCTTTCCGCTTTCCTTCTCCGACCCTTCTTCTTTCCCATCCATGCCCCACCAGCCCTCCTGCCATAGAGCGGCTGTCCAGCGGTCTGTTCCAGGAGGTGATTGTGACCAATACCATTCCGCTGACCGAGGATAAACTTTTCCCGCAGCTGACCGTGCTGTCGGTGGCCAATCTGCTGGGAGAGACCATCTGGCGCGTGCATGATGACACCTCGGTGAGCAGCATTCTGGGTGACCTGTAGCGAATTTAGTTTGAGCACTGTAACTTGGTATAGTTCTGAATGGACATGCATGTGTGTCGTTGTGTGATTCTTTTCTCTGTAATAATATTCCATTCTCATGCTTGCCGGGTACATATGCTCTGCATTTCCTGCCTTTTGTTTTCTTTAATCTACATTTACAGTTGTCTTCAGAGCAGCACCCAGCCGCAGCTGGTATGGACATTGATTGACCTGTGGGTGGCATGACATGTAAAACTACACACTTGAACAAGTTACATATGACAAGGGTGTTTTTTGTGCATCCTGTTTGTGTGCATGTGATATGGTAGGATGATCAGTCTCTGTTTGCCACCTTCAGGGTTTGGCAAGTGAATACTATTACCGTAGCAACCATGGTTTCCTCCTGAGGGAAGGGAGGTTTGATTTGGCGATTAAACAAATGAATTAATATAGGTAGGAGGAACAACTCGAGCATCACCTGAGCCAAGGGTGTCTAAGGAGCTCTTGACAAGATGGCCGGTGACTAGGATCCACAGTCAACATTCTCCTTATCAAATCCTTAGCTTCAGTGGGTACCAAATGCCAGGGTTCAGAAGCCAGGTCAAGCTGTCCAGCACAGATCATCTTCTTCATCATGCTTCTTTTTGGCGAATAGAACGGCCATCTTCCTGCGAGCATGGTGTATAGAATGACTCCTAGACTCCATACGTCCACTTTCTCGTTGTATTTCAACCTGCATAGCAGCTCAGGAGCTGTGTAAGGTAGGCTTCCTGCCGCTCCGCAAACGGAGCCTCCCCGACGACACGTCAAAGCCTGTCCAAAATCAGTCAGCTTGACCTGGAGGTAAGTCTGGCCAGCCGTTGATTCTTCATCTGCAGCCGGGGATTTACATGATTGGTCTGGTGATCTGAAAAGTGTCGAAAATATATAACTTAGTGGTTCCTTGTAGGTATTGAGGTCTCCAAACGGCGAATTGCCGGATAGTGAAGGATCCGACTGCTGACGTGTGAGTAGGACATTGTCAGGCTTCAGATCGCGATGCACCACACCGTGATCGTGGCAAAACGCCACGGCTGTTACCAACTGACGAAAGATCTTCGCGACTTCGTGCTCATCAGCGGGTCCCGATCTGCTGATGTAACGCAAGAGATCGCCATCTGAGCACTTCTCCATTACAAAGTAAACGGCTGACGAATCCTCGTATACTCTTTGAAGAGACACTATGTTGCAATGGCACCCTAATTCCCGCATGATCTGCATTTCCCGTCGTAATTCCCATTTGTCCTCCTCATTCCTGACTAAATGCTTCTGAATCACTTTACACGCTAAGCATTTACCTGTTTTCTTCTCGACACACTCGTAAACAGAACCGTATGTTCCCTTCCCAAGGACGCCACCAAGGGTATAAAGGTCATCGGGAAACTCGGAGGTCCAAGGAATCACTCGATCCGGCGAGTGTTCGGTATTCGAAGGGATGAAAACCATGAGAGGTGAATGCGGACAGTGAATCAATACGAGACTGGCTGGAAAAAAGAAAAGCAACCGTCGAAATGCGAATACTATGTGCTGGCCTGAGTCCTGGCACCTGAAGTTTCCTCAATGTACTGGTACTGTATGAGAAGGTCGCGAAGGAACTACTGAGGATCTGTGACGTAGCTCATTACGTGTTGTGTGTGATAAAAACTATGGAAGCACTCCACAAAGGCCAGATTCAATCACAGTACACGTACACAAATTCTGAACGGTGCATCCATTCGGTGCACCAGGGAACAGAACCTGTATGCTTGGCTGGGGGAGCCCCGCTGACGCGAGCACAGAAAGCAGGGGGTGGCTGCTCTGGCTCGATGATTCATCCATCGAATAGATGAACGGCTCCGATGGCTGCAGAAAGAAGGTGCTTTGCCCCACCCCACTCCACAGCAGCACGCCGGTTGCGCAGCAGGTGGTGTGTGGGGAAGCGGATGAGGACCACTGGGTCGCAGGTGGCTTGGTTCGCGGGCTGCGCTGCGCCGTCGGAGAACAGCCAGTTTTGCGCTGTTGCCATGTGGCGGACAAGATGTGAGGCTTTGCTTGCGGGTAGACTGACTCCGACTGACTTGGCCGCCGGTCAACCGGCAGTTTTCTGACTCATCCCACGTCATGCAAAACGATGCGTGGTTCGTATACTTGATACAAGGTAGTCTGACGTGTTGTATAGCATCACCATGCTCACCTCGTATAAAAGGTCTGCTACTTCTAACAATGAACACCTTTGCTGTCTTCTGCATTCAAAAATGGACGCCATTTAAATACTGTCATCTGAATTTACTCTGCGGTTATTTTTTATGAAAAGGTATGTTTTGCATTGATATCGGGTTAGGCGATTACTTTAGCCAGCGAGAGAGCCATTTTTTCCATTCGTTTCTAATGGGGTCGAGTTTTGGCGAATTCATATTCAAGAATCTTGAACATGAAAACAGCCATGTGACTGGAAAAGAAGGAACAAGGCGGGCATCTCAAGGCATAAAAGCACGGCATGCCTCTAAACTCTGCATTTCACAGACAGACAGGAAGGCAAGATCGCTTCTAGGAGACAGTAGTGTTCGTGCACTGTTGCTCAAGCTGGTTTTCGTCTCCCGCGCGTGCATCACACTTTGCTGGTTTTCTGTGTCATGCTCAATCGGTTGTTCCAATAGAACTCAGACCACCACCATGCTAGCATTGCGGTTGTCACTTCTGGTAGTACTAGCATTGCGTTACTACTGCGACGGTTGAAAGCCGACACTCCAAATTGATCTGTCCGCTCGCTGACCATTTTTCTGCGTGACAATTTCCGGTTTCGACGGACTAATTCCAAACTGGATCAAAGATCTTTCGAGGATTACGAGGTCGATACGTTCCGGCTCTCAGTCGACAATGCCTTAACCTATGAATTTCGAATGTAAGTCCTGATTTCAACTTGGTTGTTCGGGAGGACATGGTCGGGACTGCTGCGAAGGTCTCGGGTGAGACGAAAAAGAGACGAAACGTTGCATTTCGATGTCCACAGGTAAGGATGCTGGAACGGATACCGTAATAGTAGATCGAGCAGCCATCTCAGGCGGGACACGTCAAGTAATGGGATGTGCTATTGAGAGACGTGGAGAATTTCCCTTTCGTCTATGTCGAACTGTCCGATAAAGCTTGACATGCTTAGGCTCCCTGGATGAGGTTTATAGATGGAACATATGTTCAATTGTAATGTGTTATATGTTGGTAGGCTGTAGTGGGGTAGCCAATATGGGGTACAACCCAAACTAGGGTTTCCTATTTGTACCCTTGCTTCTTTCAATCCAACCATTCTTGCCTAGTTCTATTAACATGGTATTCAGAGCAGGAGGTCCCTAGGACCTACCGACCGTTTTTTTTTTAAGGGCCCACCACCGCTCGCATGCGGTTACCACGCTACCCCGTGCCCTAGCCTCGTAGCGCCCTCGTGCGCCCTCGTTAGCGCCCTCGTGCGCCCTCGTTAGTGCCCTCGCGCGCCCTCGTTAGCGCCCTCGTGCGCCCTCGTTAGCGCCCTCGTGCGCCTCTCGTTAGCGCCCTCGCGCGCCCTCGCTAGCGCCCTCGCGCGCCCTTGTTAGCGCCCTCGTGCGCCTCTCGTTAGCGCCCTCGTGCGCCTCTCGTTAGCAGCGTCGCCCGCCCGCCGAGCCGCCCGCTCGCAGCGTCGCCCGCCCGCCCGCTGCCCGCTTCGCAGCGTCGCCCGCCCGCCGCGCTGCCCGCTTGCAGCGTCGCCCGCCCGCCTCGCTGCCCGCTTGCAGCGTCGCCCGCCCGCCCGCTGCCCGCTTCGCAGCCCGCCCGCTGCGCTGCCCGCTCGCAGCGTCGCCCGCCCGCCCGCTGCCCGCTTGCAGCGTCGCCCGCCCGCCCGCTGCCCGCTTGCAGCGTCGCCCGCCCGCCCGCTGCCCGCTTCGCAGCCCGCCCGCCGCACTTCCCGCTCGCAGCGTCGCCCGCCCGCCCGCTGCCCGCTTGCAGCGTCGCCCGCCCGCCCGCTGCCCGCTTCGCAGCCCGCCCGCCGCGCTGCCCGCTCGCCGCGTCGCCCGCCCGCCCCGCAGCCCGATTCGCAGCCCGCCCGCCGCACTTCCCGCCTGCAGCGCCGCCTGCCCACCGCGCTGCCCGCTTCGTAGCCCGCCCCCCGCACTGCCCGCTCGCCGCGTCGCCCGCCCGCCGCGCTTCCCGCCGAGCTACCTACCTGCAGCGCTGCGGCAGCTTCCTTTGCTCAGTCGCACTGTCGCTATGGCTTCCATCCGCGTGCTGTCGTTCGATGCTGAGGGCCGCCCTGTGAAGTTCGCCACTTGGCTGGATGACCTGCAGCTGTTCCTTCTGAGCGATAGCAAGGAGCATGTGTCGCTCTATGATTACGCGTCTGGTGCTGCACCTGCCCCTCCTGCCACAGCTGAGCTTAGTGTTCGTTCCCACTGGCAGACTCGTGACGCAGCTGCTCGCCTAGCCATTCGCAGTCACCTGCCGCTAGCTGAGCTCGAGCATTTTGGCGACTGCAAATCCGCTAAGGCCCTGTACGATGCTGTCGTTGCTCGCTACTCCTCGCCTGCCACAGCTGAGCTTAGCCGCCTCATGCTGCCGTACCTGTTCCCTGAGCTGTCCACCTTTGCTACAGTCGCCGATCTTATCACCCACCTTCGCACTAGTGATGCTCGCCTGCGTGCCGCCCTTCCCACCGAGTTCTGCGCTAAGAACCCCCCTCCACTGTACTGGACACTCCACTTCATAGTCACCCGTCTCCCTGACACCCTCAGCTCAGTTCGAGACCACTTCCTTGCTCGCTGTCCCACTGAGCTCACAGTCGCCCTCCTAGAGGAGCAGCTGCTAGCGGCCGAAAAGAGCATTGTAGCTGTCGGTGCTGCTCGTGGCGCTCCTCGCACCCCCATCTTTGAGGGGTGTTCTCCCTCTCCCCTCGCTCCCTCCTACGCTACTGCTGCTGCTGTTGACTTCCTTGGTGCTGAGTCTGTTGGCGCTGCTTCTACTCCTGGTGGGAGGCGCCGCACCGGCAAGGGCAAGGGGGGCAAGGGTGGCGGGGGTGGCGCTGGGGGGGGAGGAGGTGGGGGAGGTGGGGGGGGAGGCGGTGCTGGAGGGAGCGGTGGCGGGAGCGCTGGTGGGAGTGGGGTCGGCGGTGGAGGCGGGGGCGGCGGAGGAAGCAGTGGCAGTAGTGGCGGCGGCGGCGGTGGCGGCGGTGGCGGTGGTGGCGGTGGTGGCGGTGGCGGTCGGAGCGGTGGTAGTGGTGGCGGCGGAGGTCGGAGTGGAGGCACTGGCTCGGGCCAGAGCTCCCAGCAGCAGCAGCGTCCCCAGACGACCCAGCAACTTCGTGAGTGGCTTGCTCAGCGTGGGACGTCGGGGGGCAGTGGCCGCTGTTCCTATGTCATTCGCACAGGTGACCGCAAGGGACAGACGTGTGGGAGGTTCCACACCCCGTACCGCTGCTTCTCCCGCCTTGACGACGCTTGGCGTGAGGAGATGGGCGAGGATGTTGAGCGCCCCCGCTGGGCTGAGCTCATGAGGGCTGGTGTTGATATCTTTGCTCTTGACTATGATGCTATTATTGCTGCCATGTATGCATTGACTGTTAGTGCCGAGGGAGACTGTTACTTGTGTGTGCCGCCTGACCCAGGTATAGAGCCCGCTGCCCTGGGTACTAGTGAGTCTGCTCTCTCTGGTATGGTGCCCCCTGTACTTGCTCCCTCCAGTGCTGTCCCGGCTGTTTGCGAGTCTGCTCTCTCAGGTACAGCACCCACAGAGACTGCTCTCTCAGGTACCGCACCGGCTGAGGCCTGTCACACCTTCACCCTTGACTCAGGTGCTTCCCGCTGTTTCTTTCGTGACAGTACTGAGCTCACACCGCTTCCTGCACCGGTCCCAGTCTCCTTGGCTGACCCCTCTGGGGGCCCAGTCCTTGCCCAGTCCACCACTGTGCTCCCTTGTCCGGCGGTTCCGTCTGGCTCGTTGTCGGGTTTCCACCTCCCCTCGTTCTCGACGAACCTGGTGAGCAACGCTGTCATCCAGGATCAGTGGGTTGACACCTTTACCCCTGGAGGACAGCGTGTGGCGATCTGCACGTGCTCCAGGACCGGCCGTCACCTGGCTACGTTTACCCGTCGGCCGGGGTCGAGTCTCTACACACTGACCACTGCGTCTCCTCAGGTCGCTGCTGTCGGTCAGGTGTCCGCGTCAGGTCTGGTGGCCCACGCCTGTGAGTGTCGTTCCCTGTCGCACCAGACTCTTCTCTGGCACCACCGCCTGGGTCACCCCTCCTTGCCACGCCTCCGTGGCATGCACCGTCGCCGCCTTGTGTCTGGTCTTCCCAGGTCCCTCCCTCCCCTCCCTGCCTCGCCTGCGCCGCCTTGCCTTCCTTGCGTCGAGGGGCGGCAGCGCGCCGCTCCTCACTCCTCCTCGTTCCCCCCGACAGAGGCTCCTCTGCAGACCCTCCACCTGGACGTGTGGGGCCCAGCCCGCGTTCGTGGCCAGGGCGGTGAGCGGTACTTCCTGCTGGTCGTCGACGACTACTCGCGTTACACCACGGTCTTCCCCTTGCGCACCAAGGGTGAGGTCCCTGCTGTTCTGATCCCTTGGATCCGCACAGTTCGTCTCCAGCTCCGCCGCCGTTTCCGGACGGATCTTCCTGTCCTGCGTCTGCACTCTGACAGAGGTGGTGAGTTTTCCTCCGATCTCTTGAGGACCTTCTGTCAGGCGGAGGGCATCGAGCAGACCTTCACGCTTCCGGACTCCCCACAGCAGAATGGGGTTGCTGAGCGCCGCATTGGCCTGGTCATGGAGGTCGCTCGTACCTCCTTGGTCCACGCGGCGGCTCCCCATTTTCTGTGGCCGTT